TCTTGTGCTGCCATGATTAGTGCCTCTGTGCTGTCCTTCAGTCCAGCCTTTTCCAGCCACTGGTAGGATTTTTTGATATCAGCCACTTCTTCTATTTGTCTGTGGTATACGCCGTGCAGCGGCTTGTCCCTCCATGATGGTTCTCCTTCCTCTTTCTTGTCCTCACTTTCGGTTTTCTCCTGCCTGAGGTATTCGCCAAGCCATTTGTCTTTGGGGGCCATCTTTCTGATGTACTCCTGGATCTTAGTTGTTTCATCCTGGACAGTGGTCTTGACACTCACTAGCCTCGCTACGCTTGGTGTACAGTCTCAGAGTGCTGGATTTGGGGTGGAACCCTCCATGCATTGTGAGGAGCTTTCTCGTCTTGATGTCAGTAGCCTCTATCTCCTCCTTTGGCCAGTTTATTATACCAGCGGGGTATCTGATGACTGGTAGGGCATATGTGTTGATGGCTTGGATCTTGTTTTTCCCATTCAGCTGACTTTTCAGGACCTGCCTTACTCTTTGTAGGTATTTAGCTGTGGCAGTCTTTCTTGCCATCTCCTCGTGGTTTCCGTTAGCCTGTGGCACCCCAAGGTATTTGTAGCTGTCCTGAACATCTGTTATGTGGCCTTCTGGTATATATATATATATATATATATATATATATATATATATATATATATATATATATATAGTCTTATATTTCTAAGTGTTAATTGTCCAATTATAGTTTTGCTAGAAAAAAAAATGGAAGCGGAATGTATATATAAGAAAATGTAATTTTAAGTGATATTTTAGCTGTTTTAATTTCTCCCTCATTACCCCACACCAATAAAAAATGGACCCAGGCAGTTCAATTCTGTTAAAAATGGTTTGAATAGTGGTACAAAGAAGGGGGAAGGGATGAAATGGGAAGGCTTTCTTATGAAATGCATTTAGACATTGGCAAACTAACCTGGATGTAAATTTAGAAATAGCATAAGTGGTTTTAGCACATAGTGTACAACTACCAAACCCATTACTGTATACATATTCAACTCAAAACTGGTCACAGGGGGGCTACATAATCATGAAAGGTACTGTATTCAGACTGAAATGCAAAAAGTGACTTCCTGTGGTTATATACCAGTCAGTCCTACTGAGAATTGGCACAGTCATCATTTCTTGTATAAAAACCAATCATACTGTTACGACACATGTTTATTAGAAGGGTTTACTAATTGGTGAAATAGCTAATCAACTTGTTGCCTCAAACTCTTTATTTGATGGTCTTGCTTAAATATATCCAAGCATTAGTATTACAGTGCAAACAGCTGCAGAAGCAACTTAGGGAAGCAGCAGTTTACAAGTTGACTGAGCTTTTAAAATTGTGCCACTTGGTAGCCATTTTGGCAAGTGGACTAAACACTGAGTGATAAGTAGTTTAACATTGGTGTTATGGATGGCATAGCATTAACATTGGTCACATCCTTAATATGATAAACATGCTTAATTTGTTCACAGCACCCTTTGAAACAACGCCTTCCAAGATGATGAAAAGATCATAAAATGGTTTTCACAAGGGCGTCAAACATTTACAAACACATGGCACTCAGCTAAATTCAGCCTTTTACTTAGATGCCACTTGGCATGAGTTCACTCAGTCCTTCTCTTTATTGAGCCAAAACATGTTCTGCTCGGCTGCCCTGCTCTTGTCTCGTTTTCAGCTCAAGCAGTGAGAAAGATAAGAGACGCCACAACAATAGCAGCAGCAGAAGCAGCACCCCTGCTTCCAGCAGCTGCTGTAGGGTGCAACCTGTTGTCAGCCTTTTCAGCTCTAGGCTGACTTGGACCCGGGGTTATGATAGGTGGAGGGGACGCTGTGTCAAGTTAATGTTAAGTAAAACCTTGGCTGAACTCTGAGGTCTGAAAATCAAAAACAAACCAAACCTTTAGATATGTGACTGTTATCGGCCACCTCTCTCCACTTTCCGCCCTGATATCTATCGCGCCATCTGCTTTTGCCCCTCTCTGACCTTGAAATACCAACAGTGTGTAGAGGAGAGGAAGAAGGGGGGGTAACTGAGTGCAGGGTTGGGGGGGGAGACAGAGACAGACGAGGGGAGGACAGCAGCAGGTAGTTGTCATGGAAACAGGGAGGATTGTTACACGGCTCACGTCAACAGGCAAGTGTTGATGGAGGTGGTGGTAAAGGTGGTATTGGCTGTTGGAGGGGTATGAATGAGCCGGTGGTGCCCGTTAGCCAGTGTTTGCTAAATATCCTGCTGACCAATTGGAGGTCTGCCGAGGGAGAATGTCACCTGAGGTGAGCATAACAGACTCTCCCATCCACCTCGTCTCCACTCTTTTATGCGCACTTTGCCAATGACTAATCCATATCCAGTATCCTTATAAAAGCTCTCAAGAAATTAAACCATCTACTCTGAACACCCACTTCATCCCCTGCCTTTTGCATTCTTCCTTTTTTTCCATCTGCTGACTCCTTCACAGAGATACGGTCAAGCATGCTGTCTTGTGTTGTACAACAGTCAATGCAACACATTCGCTGTATGACCTTGTAGTTTGTTTGTGTGCATGGGAACACATGCTAAGGATTTAGTCACAGCCACATGGAGATGCAAACCCCTCCTTCCTCCATTCTTCTCCACCACCTCCTCTTATTCTCTTGCATAAACACTGGCACTGTGATACTTGGTCCCTTATATTTTTGATGTTCCCATCCCAGGCAAAAGACACACACTCTTAGCAGGGTTTTGTTTATCACTGCTCTGAGGACAAAAGAACTGAGTAAGGAAGACTGAGATGAGTAAAAAAAAACATGCAGACAGATGGGGAGACAGCAAAAAGACTGTTATGGACAGATGGAAGGTTAGTGATGAAACATTTAGAAACAGATGCAAACCACCAGAAAAGAGTGAGAATGGACCCAGCAGAGGACAGGAATGGGGAACAAGTGTTTTGGGAAGATATGTGTGAGGAAGTACACTGCTTGTATTATTCCCTTAGACAAATAATATGAATGAAAAATGCCTTTTCTCTCCAGCGAGGTGCTGGTTTTTAACTGATAAGCAACACGTTTCCAGCACAAAAGAAAAACATGGACAGTGAAAGGAGGAACGACATGGGGGAAGGAGAGAGAAAGGAGCACTGGCAAAAAATGAAAAAAGATGTCAGGATGGGTTCAGCATCTGGCCCTGAGGCAATGGAGCAAGAGGCTGACAGCGGCAGAGAGGGAAAAAGAATGTGGGGCTGGGGTGCTTGTTTCCAGAGATTCCAACATCAGCAGGAGGCATGTACAGAAAGGATGGTTCAGAATTTATTCACAGGGTCAAAATAAAGAATATATACACCAAGCTATATCTACAAACAAAGGTCCATGCACCACTTACATATTGTTTGAATGCTCTGTTATACGAGCAAGTGAAAAAAAAAGAATGAAAAATGGAAATACACAATCATAATTAGTTATGTTGATTAATCAATAGTATTTTTTAATAGTTATTTTTTAAGTGGGGAGGAATTACAACTATTTTAAATTACTTAGAGAGTCAGGATTTCGGAGAAAAGTTTAATTTTTTTGTGGGTTCTTGTTCGTCCATAAATGCTTACATAAAGAGAAAGAGAATCCTAATATAGCTGTCAGTTTGTCAAATAATAATTTGCCTTGATTTCTCTTATAAATGTAACATATGTTCAATTTATGAAGTGTAAACTTTTTATTAAAATCCCTTCAGTCTAAAGTACAACCGGACATCTGTGGACCCAAATACGTCAGGCTGTGTTGGAGTCTTTAGTCCTTGGGGATTCAAAGTATAATTTATTGGAATGCTTTATTGTGAAAACATACTTTTAAACTCATGGCAGACATAATGTGGGTGGTTTTTATAATCCTAAGAAATACGCTATGATCTAAGTCTGAAATCTGATGTCTGAAATAACCCAGACGTTTGGTGCTGACTCCAAAGTAAATGTGGCTGATGTGCAACTCTGTAAAAGACAATTACTTCTTAGTTGGGGTAAATACAAATTCTACAACTCTAGCAATAAATGTACATTTGTTCACTCAGTTCTTGCTATAAAGTAAATTTATGTTTTATGTTGAAATTTCCTATCCACACTAGATTTTCAGTTTAGATACTTCCTTAAAGGTCGAGATTTGATATATATAGTATTGGTGAGTCCATAAATGTCTCTTTATATGGTATTTCCATAAGGAATGCAGGTGTTTGAAGTATTAAAGGTGTTTACAGTTGTGAAAAGAAATAAATATAACTTCATTTTTGTATGTATGTATTATTATTATTTTTTTCGTGCATCAACATACGTTTCAATAATACAGTTGGAGTTTGTTGCATATGTTGGCCAGGTGATAGGCATTCTAATTTTTATTTCACAAAGTATCTTTTACATCTAAATCAACTCAAAAAGGAAATATTTTATCCCATAAAAGGGAGTAATATCTGCTGTTGGGTTATTGAGAGCTGTTATAACGGACAAGATTAGATGATTATGATATGAGGCTGAGCGTTTGACCTGGATCTTTTGATGAGATCATATCATGTGAACCAATACAAGGGATGGTAAACATTAAAATGATTGCAGTTGTTTAAAAAATGGAGATGGTGTGACTACAAACTTTATCTATAAGTGTTTAATTTGTGGTCATGTGGAAAATCTTCATAGCAATTTGCTATACTTTTTAAATCGCTCTATTCAGCTTGAAACAGCAGCCAAACAGCTCTCTTATGAAGGGGAGTCTCCTTCTGTTTCAGCAGATGTTAGCAATTTCCTGAAGGGATGACATAAATAAGATTATATTCACTCTATCTTTTTTAAGCATCCTTCTTTCTTATTCTTTTGTCTTTTATTTTAACTGCACTTTAACGGCTTTATATGTTGCTTCCTCCTACTGCAAACTGATGATTTTGATCAATTGGCCTCTAACATCTAGTTACTCTCTATTCTTTTCAGATATGTCATATTCACTGATTCATTCTCTCCCTTTTGCTTATCTGCAGGCAAATAAGCTACGCACAAAAACCTTGAAGAACACCCTGAATCCAGTGTGGAATGAAACACTGGTGTATCACGGCATCACAGGAGCTGACATGACCACCAAAACGCTCAGGTAGGTTCTTCGATTTGAATTCCTTTCTGGTCAGTCAGTGTAGTTTTCCAGAAAACCAAATGAGCAGTTAATTACTGGGGAAGATGACAAACCACACTTCTCTCCATTCAGTAAGCTTTCAGCAGCTCTCTGTGATTCCCACTGGGATTCTCCAGGTAATGCATCTCATTGTTACATCTAGGCAGAACAAAGGAACTGTACCACTACTTAAACTGTGCTTTGGAAACATTTGAACATCTAATGAATTCCCTCAGGTTTTTTTTTTTTTTTTAATTAGCTCAACAAACTTAAAAGTGTTTTTAGGTGTGAATTTGATTTTATTTTATTTTCCTATCTGATATAAAGTAGCACACATTATAAAGTGGATAGAAAATTGTGCATGTTGTCCATTTTCAAATAATAATCTGAAAAGTGAAGCAAGTTTGCTTTGGTCAATTGTTTAGTTTTAATGCTAAACTTTGCCATACCTGTAACCTCTGTGATCTCCATTGGAAAAGGCTGAATTGTCTCCAGTGTTCAACAGTTTCGTGTCAGGCCTGCAGCAGGAAGGCTAATATCATTTTCTCTTGGATGAAAGTCTCAAGTTTCTTGTATATCTAAGTTTTTTGTAAACTTGGAGAGAAATTTTGCAGAAAAGCCTTGAAGTTTTGAATCAGTTATGAAAGGGAATTACTTAGCCTTTGATTGGTCTGCAGATCTGATTCTGAACATGGTTTCAGGAGTACTTTATTTAAGCAGTGGCTGAAGAATAAAGTCCATTTAACCATGTTATCTTTGTTATTTTTGATCTGGCACCCCTGCTCCTCTCCCCTGGTCCATGGGTAAAGGGAATGACACAAGCATATAGCAGCTGTTTAGTCCCCAAGCGCAGTGGGGTGCAGGGTCCTATGTCCCTGTGGGAGTGTGAGAGGTGGATTCGCAGCAGTTTAGAGAGGACAGTAAAACAGAGCAGAACTGCATATTCCTCTACCAGTGTTCAAAGATAACCAGCTTAAACATCGGAACTTAATGTTTAAAATTATTACCTTGGCTTATGGCATTACAGTTCACGTCTTAGTTCGACTGATTCAAACTCTGCCCCTTGTATTGAGATGATCTGATGATCTGTTGCAAGAGTGTTGACGTCCATGATTTAGATTATTGAGCTATTTCGCAGAAAGAGATAGACAAAATGTCACCTTTCAAAGATGTGAAGGTTCAATTTGCATAGACATTTTGCAGCACAGCTGCTCAGATGTTGGCTGTTCTGTCAACTTCCAACAGCTCTGTCAATGTAGAGGGATTCAGGTCAAAGGTAGCCATTTTAGCGCAAAAAAACTTTAAGGCACTCCTCTCATCATGCATTGGTACACTGATGTAGGCATAGAGGCATGCATCTTCTTTGTACTAAATGTAATCAGTGTCAGTTTACCAAGCCCATTTATAACAGGGTTGGATGTTTGTCCTGAGGAAAGACGACGCTGAAGTGCATAGGCATGGACACACACACACACACACATAGATCTCATCTGAATCCAAATGCAGGCAGTCAGGTGTTTGCCTAGCCTTCTGTGTGTATGTCAAGGGCAATCACTGCCAGGAAAGAACATTTGTGACCCCTCCTCCTCACACCCCTAAAACCCACACGCAAACCACACATGTCCTTGGGCTGTACACATTAGGAAAAAAAAAAAAACATTTTTCTCCTCAATCACAGCAAGATATTCCCTTCAGATGAGAAGAAACCCTCCGAACCCCTGCTCAAGGACACGGCCTGCAGCCACACACCAACATGGGAGGGCTCCAAGTCACCAAAATTATAAATAGTTGTAGTAAAAGATGACGATGGACACAGAAACGGTCAGCAAGATCAACAATGATTCAGTAGAGGTGGAACTTAAGTTACAGATAAGTAATAACAGAGAATTAAAGTAGAGAGAACAAGATGATGGAAAATAGCAGAATCGTGTAATGATTTAAATACTGGAGTTATATAAAAACTGAAAAGAAAAGAGATTTCAGTCGTCTGGGTTAAGAAGGGATGCTATCAAAGGGGAGCTTACCCAAAAAAGACTTCAAAAACTTGAATGAATGAGGACATTTAAAAAGAGGGTGATCTGGGGTGAATGACATGCTCACTAACACCCAAGAGAAAAGAGAAATCAGGCAATAGACTCGAAGAAAGAAGAGAATGTGTGCCGCCCCGATAGTTTGGCCTGTGAATGAAGTGTGAGCTCACCACATCACGGGAAACGACTTGGGAAATTAGATACTAAAAGGGTTCCCCTGAGTGATGTTTACTCTCTAGGCTGTGTCCCAGAGGATACAACTCTGCAGGTCACAGCAAAGATGGGGAAAGCTCTTTGATCTCTGTGTGCACAGTGCACAGCCAGACTCAGCCCAGTCATTTTGTTGGCCAGCCTCAAGGGTTTTACAAACTCATGTACTTGTGACTCCTAAACCTTATTCTGGTGGTCTATCACATTCAAATCCAAAGTTGGTCAAACTCAGATTCTAACAGATGCATTATTCTTTAGTTACCAAAATGTTTAACCTCTTGGTGTATGATTATGGTTAGATACACTATAAAACAGCAGTTTAAATATCTCTAGCCACAGCTTTACATCAAACATCTGCAAAGCCGTTTAGTCTGCTATCTGAGCACTATGTGCAGCTGGTTATAAGAGTTTTTATGAAAATATGTCTTCAAATTACTCAAGATTTAGTACATTATATGAATGAAATAAAGGGTTAAAGTTGTGTTTTGGTCAGCTTAATGATTAGGTTAGAAATTTGCTGATTCATAGAAATTAGAAGAAGATTTTTCTGATGGTTCTGATTATCATGATAATCAAGCTATGAATTTAGAGGAGGAGCAAATTCACTCAGGGAAACTATCTTTCAACATCGGTGCAGGGGATCCAACACGAGTGAGGTGGAATTTATTTTTGTAAGCTCTGCGGCATCCTTAACATAATACAGTCCTATTATGTTATGATTTTTCCTATTATGATGGATTAAAAAAAAAATTTACCATGCTTTACTTTTAATGCTGGTGAAGGTTATCAGTCATTCAGGTCATAGTCATACCAAAAAGAATTTATGATGACGTTTCGCTTTCCATCCAGGAAGCTTTTTCAATTCTAAATTTCAGGAATTGCATTGAGTTCAAGGTTTTATACAGTAGCCCCACAAAGGCAGGTTTTAGTTTTGAAAACAAGCAAATTGGAACGGACGAAGGGGTCCACCCATTTGAGTGAGACTGCTGTACCCCATACCCATCTATGTGTCTGAAAGGTCGATCGTTCTTAAAGATGTTTTGCAAGAAGACTGAACATCATGACAAGCAAAGTGTGGATGCTTACTTTAAAGACACTGCTGGAATTTTAACCCGGGATCTCCTGTTTACAAGACAGGCACTTTGACCAACTATGCAACAGCACCATTTGCATATAGAAATCTAAATGTTTTTGAAGTGAAAAAAAGTGGTTTAGCGAAAAAAGATGAAAGACAATTTTGATGCTTGGTAAACTTGTCAGCCAGATTTACATGACAAAAGGGAAGGCAGCGCTGGGATTTGAACCCAGGATCTCCTGTTTATGAGACAGGTACTTTGACCAACTAAGCAACAGTGCCTTTTGCATATAGAAAGAGAAATGTTTTAGAAGCAAAAAAAATTGCATTTTAGGACCAAAAAAAGCAAAGCAATAAAAGAAGGCAAAAAAGTTGATGGTTAGTAAACTTGTCAGCCAGATTTACATAACAAAAAGGGAGGCACTGCTGGGATTTGAACCCAGGATCTCCTGTTTACGAGACAGGCACTTTGACCAACTAAGCCACAGCACCTAAACTTGCAAACAGTGTGCTGACCCCTCATCAAATTCACACAAGACACTTGGAAATGTCTTGTGCACAAAAGCATGAAACAGTAACAATGCTAGAGGTCAAATTGATATTTTCTGCTACAAGGCACAGATGCATTTTTAGATACGATCTGTTACCTTTAACAGTCAGATGCTTATGCATCCTGACATAACTGTCTTATATAGTGACCATTTTGCCTTGTCATTCTTTTAAAGAAATGTACTTTAATGACCCAGCCACAGCTCAGGTCGATACCGAGCCAAAGCATCACAAAACTATATTTCTTTAGTTGTTTACCTATGAAAAGTTAGCTCAGCAATATGAGACAAAAATACATTGCTACCAGCCGTACTCAACAGTTAGTTGAATCAAATTTCAAAGAATTTCATAAGGTATTCATCTTTAAAGAAACTGATTTTTTTTTTTACAATTCAAGTGTTTGAGTTCCCAAAGTACAGTGCACTTTACACGTGACATTTTGTGGATCTATCGCATTTGGGAAAGAGCAGGTTAAGGAAATTAGCATTGATAAGTTTGAGTGTGCCACAATATGAACAAACAGTTGCATTTAGTTGTTAGTTGGTTAGTTGTAGATACTGTAGCTGAGGGACCAACTCAGAAACATGAAGGCTAGATGATATTTCTCCATGAAGTTCTTGAAGATGTTTTGCAAGAAGACTGAACCCATGACAAGCAAAGTGTGGATGCTTAGTTAAAAGGTACTGCTGGAATTTTAACCCGGGATCTCCTGTTTACAAGACAGGCACTTTGACCAACTATGCAACAGCACCATTTGCACATAGCAATAGAAATGTTTTTAGAAGCAAAAAAAAAAAATGCGTTTTAAGACCAAAAAAAAAGCATAGCAATAAAAGAAGGCAAAACATTTGATGGTTAGTAACCTTGTCAGCCAGATTTACCTGACAAAGGGGCAGGCACTGCTGGGATTTGAAGCCAGGATCTCTTGTTTATTAGACAGGCACTTTGACCAACTAAGCCACAGAGCCTAAACTTGCAAACTGTGTGCTGACCCCTAATGAAATTCAAACAAGACACTTGGAAATGTCTTTTGCTCAAAAGCATGAAGTAGTAACAATGCTAGAGGTCAAATTGATATTTTCCGCTATGAGGTGCAGATGCATTTTTAGATACGATCT